ATACAATGTAAGTATTTTTCCTTAAAAAGAAGGCTTTGATGCTCTTCCTGAAAAAAGAGATAGCAGAAAAGTTCCATATGTTCTCCAGATTTCTTGTCTGCATGGTGTAGATACATGTGTTAATTTCCACATTCAGTTAACTCCTTAATTATACGATTCAAAGAAAGACCATACTCAGCTCACTAATGCAAGCAGAAATGAAGACAGAATTTTGTCTAATAATTATTTAACAAAAGTTAAATGAATCCTACAAATGAAATCTACAAATAAAATGAAATGGCAGTGCAAGGCACTCTTCAAATTAATAATTAGAGGTTATAACAGCAACAGCACGCTCAGTCTGTTCTGATTTGCAGTGTTTCTGTTTAACAGCTGCTATACTTGCCTAACAATTACTAGATGAAAGAGCTCCCTGATGAATACCTGAGTGTGCTGTGTGTGTCCTTCTGGATTTTATTATAGCTAAAATATTATTCTGGACTCGCAGCAATGCAGACAGATGTTTTGCCAGGTTAGCAAATGGGAATATTCCTCATCTGAGCCACAGGGATATGCACTAAATCCCCCTCAGCTGGAAACCTATTTATTATTCACTTCCCAAATTATCTACCTTATAATGTATCTGAGGCATAGTTTATTGTTTCTTGTTCATATTATTCACTTTTCTTACTTGTAACAGAATAAACAAGCTCTGATTTTCACATGTGATTTTACAAAGCAGAATATCTGCTTCCCAATTACAGTTTCAAAATCTAGTGCTCTTGAAAATCTGATACTCAGTTCTGCTCATTTTGCAATAAATATTGCAGATTATACAATATGCTTATGATTACTACCAGTATAATAAAGTTAGAGAGAGTTGCAGACAGACTTTGTAGTGTGAAGAAAAATCAGTATCAAGATATACCACTTTGAATTCATGCCATTTGTCTAATGATGAATGACACTAGCGTGAATGGTACCAAATCACCCTACAGATTTGCTATATATACTTAGTTCCCGCAAATGCATGAGGCAAAATGGCCCCACTTACAATGTACATCAAAACAGATAGTGTAATGCTTTGCCATATGTAAAACACCCTATTAAAATTATCACATGCTCAGAAATGAAAAAGGCATTTGTTGATTTCTGCCTAGTTTATTTCTTCTTTGGACATCTGTTTTCTTCTAACGGTCTCATTTTCATGGTTCAATTTTCATTTTACTGCTATTTTTGCTCACTACCCATGCTAGCAGTTCTTTATTTCCTTGACTTTTTATTCTTCAGCCAGTGGGAATGTCCTGAAGTCCATTTTTACAACAGCTTCAAACAGTGCACTTTACATTTCTTCAGCAAAATGCAAAATATCTTTGTTGCTTGATACACTTCTCTAGATTTCCTTTAAGCTTTTTGCTACAGTTCAGTCTTATTGACTTGTGGCCCTTTGCCAAAGTGAAGCTGTGGTACTCTAAACTTGCAGAAATGGAGTGCCTGGGACAGATTCTCTACTAGTATAAGCTGCTAAATTTGAACTGTATAGAGTTCTGATGAAGTACGAAAGCTAGACCTCAACACACTGTGTCGGGGTTATAAATGAGACTAGAGTTTCCTCTTTTTGCTCTCTCTTTTGTTTTTTCCCCTCTTCCTGATACAGTTATAAGGGTATCAACTGATGTAACCTGATCCCTCCTTTGGCTTCTGCAGAGTCAGGGCTTTCATTGTAAATGTATTAAAGAATTTGGCTTATCACTGAACTGCAGTTATTTAAAAGGTAAATATTCACACTAAATGAGTTAGCTAGACTTTCCTACTAACATGGAAGAAAGATGTGATGAATTGCCTTCTGGGGGAAGCTTTCTTTCTGCGTAGACTGTGGACAATTCTCAGATGTCTAAGTCAGAGCAGATGTTTGTCTCTCATATTGCAGTATACAGCACCTGTCCCATGGTTTTCATCTAGTAATGTTATCTTGGCATTGTGGCAAGAAGGAGAGAATAGCTATCAGAAGCATCATCTTCCTTGCTCCTTTCAAATAGCGATAAATTTGAACATGAGACAATGTGAGGATTTTCCTGGAGACCCTGTCACTTAGCAATAACATCAAGTTAGTGTTGAGTCTCTTGTGAGATGGAATAGAATCAAAGAAGATGCACTAAACATAATATCTTCTCTCCAATTGTTTTTTTAAGTTGTTTATTTTCACTGGTCAGGACATCAGGACACTTTTTTCTCCATGGAACTTGGACTTGGTGCTTAGAGGAACCGACAGTTGCCCCTTGAATTTATCACTGGTCAATGGTGGAACACTAAAACCAAATAAACAAAATCCAACTCAAACCAACCCAAAATGGAGCAATAGCCGAATGATTCAGAAAGAGACATAATTCTGGGTAAGAAATGTATTAATACTGCAAAACTCTGACATATCATTTTGAATTGCTATTGATCATTAGAATAAATGACCCTGTCGATAAAAATAATTTTGCATAGAGAAATTAGAAAATGAAGAACACAACTAGGAAAATGGCAGTGTGCAGATTTGAGCATCACCATTTATTTCAAGGATGAGTATATTTAATTATACAGGATGGACTTGGTCAAATTAAGTCACTTACCACCTGTGTTGAGAATATGCACCCAACATATGGCACAAATATGTACATTTCAGTTCCTTAAATCTCCTCTAAAATGCCTTATGTATGAATAAAATTGACTTGAAGTCTGTAATCTGTCTCCTGCTGGTTATGTGCACTTATCCCCAAGTCATGTTTGCTCAGAGAAGGTCTGCTACTGGAATGTCAAGATGAAGGCTGAAGCATTTGAAAGCCCCAGTTAATGGGCATTCTACACTATGCTTAACTATATTTCTGCACTTTTCATAACCAGCTGCAATCACCAAAATTATTCTCAAATAAAAAATTGCGTTTTCATGAAAACAATCTCTTCCTGACAGAGCACAAAAAAAAAAAAAAAAAAACAGTGTCTGGAGAGTTTTTAAAATGTAGTGACAATTCAGTCTGCATTTATTCAATGCTACATTAACACTGCATCCAATACAAGCCTTGCCACTGCTCGCGATCGGGAGCCAACAGGCTAAGTGATTTCCTTAGGTTTCTTCCAGCCCTGTTTTGGTATTTCTATAGAAGATATTTTGAAATATTAATTTTGCTGCAAAATGTTCTTAAATCTAAGTCAGTGTTCAGTAATAATGACTGTTTGTTGTCAGAGTTCCCGTTGGCAGCAGCTTATTACAATCAGTGTGACTCATCTCACAAAGAAAACGAATTTTAAAGGTGTCAGATAGCTGTTTTTGGTATTAGTACTGATTTTGATACAAACTGCTTTTCTTCTCCAAAAGATGAGTAGTTATGCATATGAGCTCTTGTAACTTTTTATTTTTGGTTATTTTTGTCTATGCGAATAATAATATTTGATAATGTAATGAATCACCCCTTTTAGAAAGAAGTGTGGCGACCACTAATGTTATAGAATGTCATTAATTATTTGCTTTTTCAATTAGTAAATGGAAAGTAAGTAATTTTAGAGTTAAGTCAGAGGAATTGAGATAGCACTTCAGCCGAAGAGAAGCATAGGCAGAGTTTTTATGCCTCCCGTTGTAAAGAACAAGCCACAATAACTCCCACCTAATTGCTGGAAGATTTGACTTTGCAGTTCCAAATCTTGTCTAGAAAGATTCCACAGATGCTTGAAGCTCTGCATTTCCATTTGAGATGGCTGAGAATCTAGGAGTCATTCATGCATAATCTTGTCTGAGTCTCATTGACTTCAGGAAGCAATTCAGCAACCAATAATATAGAGATTAAACAAAGCTGTAGAGAGTATTTCTTCAAGGAAGGTGAGAAAGGGATGGGGTTATCAGTATTGCTCTGAGGAATGCTGCATATTCGGCCTCACAGGGAGAAAATGCAGAAATAACACTGTAAGAGTCGGGATATAGATCCAGAACTAGCTTGAGGGTCTAAGGTGCTGCTGCATGCTATTGAGTAGACATATCCAGGAATTTCAAACATGTGTTTATTGATTTTAGAACTAGAGTAGGGTGCCTAAAACTAAGCCAATTCCTGTGTATGATTCGTTCTCCATTTGTGGAAGGAGAACTTCTTCCCTGCTACCGAATCCACCTTATTCTACTTCTCTTTGCTTGACCGGTGTTGCCCCAATTAATTAGCTTAGTCTTATTCCTTTGTTCAGATTCCCCTGGGCCAGTCCCCTGAATAATTAACAAAACAGATCAGAGGCTGTGGTTACTGCATGATACTAGTTGTGGCTCACTTTTATTTAATAACAGGGTGTTATTCTGTGCAACAAATTGTGAGTAATTCCTTGTCCACTGCTCTATAAGTCTGCTTGCATGTGTAAAAAGGCCAGCATCACAAGGCACTGAGCCATAGCTCTCCTCCTGCTTTCCATAAGCTTATGTAAAGTGCAAACTTTGGTCATGGCAAACATTGGTCAAAAGGCCATGAATGAGATCCACCCAGTAGGTGCCTGAAGAATTGTGTTGAAAGAAAGGTGCAGGAGCTCACAATTTTCACCTCCGGCGCAATGCTCATGTACAGTTTTGACACTATGAATCTTGTGGAAATTTCTGTGTTCTTTTTTGCCTTTCTCAGCAAATGAAACTACCTTCATGTAACCTCATTAAATTTCTATTGTTGCTTTTATTAGGTATGGTTTGGAATTTTGATTTTAATCAATGAAAATAATTTCTTCTTTTCTTTCTTTCTTCCTTAGTGCTAAAAACTACACAAAGTCTCTTTAATATTTAATTGATGATATCATTTTACAGGTTTTAGTTTAAAGGTAACCATAGCACAAACGCATCCATTATTAACTGCAGACCTGCAGTGCAGGTTCTTGGGAATCCTGTTTAGTTTAATATGAGAACCCTTGTCACCAGAAAACAGTGCTGATATTGTTGTAAGTGTGACAGACTGGCAAAGACAATGGGCACCACGCTGGAACAATGCAAACTGCTTATATCAGTGGATGAGGCAATGTTTAAAAGTGAGATGAAGACTGAAAGCGAGAGGCTGTCGAGGAAAGTTCGATTCCGCGTTGCTTCCTCTCACAGCGGGAGAGTGCTAAAGGAGGTTTATGCCGATGGAGAAGCTGGAGACTCTCTGGATTCTGAATATGCCAGCAGCTCAGAGACTGACCAAACCAGCCGGTTAAGCGAAGTGGAAGGACCCCAGAACGGACATGTAGGCTCTGAGTGTGATGAAAATGAAAACGAGCAGGATGACCTGCTCATTTTAGTGAGAGCCACCAAAGAAAAGGGGTTTGGTACCAAGCGGGTGAACATTCTCAGCAAAAATGGCACAGTCAGAGGAGTCAAGCACAAAGTCAGTGCTGGTCAAGCTCTTTTTGACAATTTGTCAAAAGTATTTCAGGTAAGTGATTTAGTACACTCTTTGTGTGTCCCTTTTAACCTGTGTTCCATGTTATTCTTTTCCTTTGTCCAAATCTCTCATTTATTTTGGAGCTCTCAAACTCCAAATTCAGTGTTGTTTCTTTAATATTGCTGTGTGCTTGCTCTCCTTGCACAGGAGAGGCTCATTACTCTTCCCAATGTACTCCGGCTCCTCACTGCAAATTGCATGTGAAATTTTTCTTTCAAAATTGACTGACCAAAATGTACTGGCTAGAAATAGGCATGCTTCGTTTCCCAGGTTTTTTCCAAGAAACAGGAAAGAAACATACCTGGGAAATTGGTTATTCTTTTATTGGAGGTCTTTACTGCGGAATTACAGGGATTTAAGCCATGTTTCCACTCCTATTATACCTGTTTTAATGAGTTTATGATGTTATCTGCTGTCCCCTACATGTAAATATGTATACTTGTAAATTCCACTGTGTTTAATCTATTAAGCAGATCAAATTAGATGCAGGATGGAAGTAATGGCAGTTTTCCCACATAAAAGTTTCAGAAGAATGAAATCTTAGTCAGAGAACTCTTTTATTAATGTCTGTTTTCCATTCATTTTGTAGGAGTTGAATATTTGTATTTGAAACAGTATATGCAACATCGACTCCTTAGGCAGATAAGCACAGCTTTCTGAAAAATCATCATAAAAGTTCCAAAAATATATATTATTTCATATACATAGTTCTATCTATATATGCTATTTAAGTCTTTAAAAGTTTAATACTCGAACAAGATAGCAACATATATGCTAGCAAATATTTTCGACAGGTTGTTATAACCTAGAATCATTATAGTCACTTACATGAATTTATAAATGTTTTCAATCCATTATTTTGAATGAATTTACACAGTTTTAAAGTGTGTGGAATTTAATAGCAGTAATAATTGCTGGTGTGTATTGAATCAAAAAATCCTAAAAGATCTTATTTTTTACTTTGAAGCTAAGTAGTGTTATAATAAACTTATAAATTGCTGTGAATTAACATTTGTGTATTTCTGAATGTGAAATTGTGTCCCTGCCACGCACCTAAATTATAGTGGACTTTTTTCAATACTGACATTCCTGTTGAAGATGGATATTTCAAAGGCCATGCATCTGCTACAATATGAGAATTTTATTCTGTGCAGCCAGTGCATCTTTTATCACTCAAGCAGCTAAACATTCACTGTGTTTCAAGCTACTCCCTGAAAATTTTGTCCTTAAATTTCCTACTTTGATAAAATTTATAACTAATTGAGTAGGAACTTTTTTTCTGATTGAGACGTGGAAGAATTAACTGAGGCACATTTTGTTCTCCTCCAACCTAGATTCCTTATGTTGTTCCATATTGGAACATGGAGTGCACTATTTCACTTTCCCAGCCTCATTAGTGAGACTAAGTTAAGAAATGTGCATCAACTAAATAAGTGTATCCATATGAAGCCATATGCACCTTCCTTACCAGCCCTGTGCCTTGCTGAAGTCACGCTTGATTTCTTATCCCAGTTTTAGGTTAGAAGGTCTTCAGGAGAATTCATGTCTTGTAGTTTTGACATCATCATACTTTAATTGCAATGAGGTTACTTTTATTCAGAGTTAAATCTAGAACTAGAATTATTTCCATTAATTGTTTTGAAGAAGGAAAGGAATGCATAAGAGCAACCATAGCAACCTTTAGAAAATGATATGTAGTAAAATCTACCATGGAAGCCCATAACTAAAATCTATAAAACAATGAATAGCTTGAGAAGGTGATACAGAACTCCTACTTACAATATTTTACAATAAAAGAACCTGGAAGAATTAAATCATTAGATGAAAGGAAGAATAGAAGAGTTTCTTGTACAATACAATTTTAAGAAATCACTGGTACAGGATATTGTAAAAGCAAAGAGAATGGAGACATTTTGAAAACATGTTTTATGGGAAATGAGCAGCTTCTGTTCAGGCAGTTTCTAGATAATTGATTTCCAAAAATATAAGCATCTACTGGATCAGAATGATATGTTCAATAATACAGAGAACACCATGATTTGAGGTTTTTATACAAACAGGTTTCTGTTTCCCTGGGAATAAAGCGCAGTGAAGGAGAATGGTATTTTTTTCTATAATAGTGTGATCCCATTTCAGTGCTATATGGTATACACACAGAAGAGCAAAGCACAAAGCTTGTCTTTGAGACTATTATTTGGGAAGTTCTCTGTCCTGCTGGGGAACATGATCATGCTCCTTCCAAATACAATGGTAGTGGTGAACTTTACGGTAAGATAACAGGATGACCTCTAATGTCCTGTAAGTATATTCCAGAAAATTAATTGCATAGTAATGATCCTTAAAGAACAACAGCAGTTCTGCATTTGTGGATAAGATAGAAATGTATCTGTGTCAGGAAGATGCGCCTCAGAAGCCTTAGATTTGGGCACATTTATCAACTATATGCGGCCATCTGCAGTTGCATGTTCCTCTTCTCTCAGAAAAGCAAAAATAGCTGTATAACAGCAGGTGAGGAGCATGTGGAGTTCCTCAGCCTATAGGGGAACACCTGGGTCTGCCTTGCTGGTGGGACAGCAGTAGGTGTCCCAGTTAGGTGATTCTTCGCATCTGTGCCCCCAAACGGCTATTTGAAATCTCAGCACATGCACATGTCCTCTGGGCTAAGTCCTAAACCCACCGCACTGAGAAATTCTTAAATATGAATACTTGCTATTTAGCATTTAAGGGATTGCTTCCTAACTAAAATGTTTCTGTAAAAAGTGAAATATTGATATATGTGATTATCCTGTGATCCAAAATCTTTTTTTTTTTTCAGGTTTACTGCAGTAAAACTATGGTGTTCTGTTTCTTGAGACTGATTTAGACATCAGCAACCTCCTTTACTACCTTATTATTAAAAATTCTTCAATATTCCTGGTGGTAGGTGAGGAATTCTTTAAAATTATTCAGTCTGATCAGATATTCTAGGGATTCCTTGACTGTGAAGTTATGCCATCAAGACCTTTGCTGTTTTGTATTTGGAAAACCATCCAGTACGCCTGCATTAAAAAGTATTTTAATGGTCCATAAATAACTTCTCTACACAAGTGGTTCAGACAGTTCTTACCAAAAACAACCTTATCAGACAAATCTCACGTCTTCAGGATATTTTTTATTTTTTGATGTGATTAGTGTGAGGTGCATAATATATGAGGTGTTTCTAGGAGAAAAGAAGAATTTTTTTCTGTCATGTACATAACACTGAGCTATCTGGAGAAGGTCTCTCTACTGTCAAGCAAGACCCCCTTCCACATCTCCCCCAGCCACACACAGGGCAGCTCCTCAGCAGCACGTCCCGTCAGGTCCAACTTAGCCCAACTTAGCCCAACTTAGCTCTCCCTGCGACACTAGCTCCAGCACCTTGGCTGGCCTGGCAGTGGTCCAGGGACTGGTATGCTGCGAAGATAAAACCCTCATGTCAATGGCTGCCGTCGCCAGAGGCCTTGGCCACTGCTGGCCGCTGTGGGAGCAGGTGGTGTGACCCTGGGCGTCATGGCACTGGGGCTGGTGCTGGGAATGGGCAGCAGCGTTTGAGGGTGCCACACCAGGGTCAGGACAGGCTTTGTTTTGAGGCTGGGAAGGCAGGACCGGAACCCGCTCTACTTACACCTCAGGGGCACATGGTTTCCATGGCAACCCTGCCAGCCTTTCCCTCTGGGTGGCTGTGCTTCAGACGGAGTGTTGCCATAGCAACCACCTCACCGTGTGCCATTTTTGGGACATCCCTCTCGGAGCCCCTTGCCATGCTCCCAGAGTCACGGGGATGGACTTGCCCGCCCCTGTGGGCACCCTGCACGCAGGCATGGTGGCCATGAACTCACTCCTCCACCACTCAAAATGGCCCAAAGGACAGGGAAACACGAGCACCATTTATTAATTTTTATCTAATACTTACTTAGGCCTGAATGCTGTTAAAAAGCACATGGGTTTGGGATATTTCCTATATTTTCCCAAAAATATTAGAAGGGAAATTGCTGACGTTTGCTTTAAATAAATGTAATTCTCCTCACGAGTGGGCTTTGTGAGCAGACCGTCACTGTGGCTGCTGCCACGCAAGACAAAGCAAAACTCCTTGCGTTGTTCAGGATATCAGTAATTAGCACAATGCTCATTTTGTGCCAGATCTGATTTCCATCCCACGGTGCAATGTAATGGAGCTTAGCCAAAGGTTTTATGCAAGTCTCTCCTCATTTCCACCATTTCAGCAGAGATTTCCTCCATACACTCTGCTGGCCTTGCAGCATTGTGCTTGGAAAGGTCACTTTCTGCTAAATTAGCTGCAGATTTCCTTCTTGGGCAGGGCCTGACGATGTCTGCTATAGAAGGGCAGGCATGGTTAACAGACCTGATTAATGTGTTTTTGAACACTGCAGCAGCAGTGCTATGGGTGAACAGACAGGCAAAATGTACTTGGTCTTTATGATATTTTCCAGCACAGTCCCTCAGGTAGAGTTAACATTTAAAGTTGCAAAGCACAAGTCAATATTCAGCCAGATAAAAAACAGGATTATTAACATTTAGAGAAAGGTGGGAAATGGTTAAAAATAAGATGGAAATTATGAAGCGAAGGAGTGCTTCTGGGGTGGTTAGATTCACTGTCATCTTCCTATACTTGCTCGTGACCTGGAAAAATGAATACATGGCAAGGCACTCAAATCTGCAGATGCTACAAAACTAGAAGGACTGGCTAACACCAAATCTTAGAGAAAATAAAAGTAAAGAGAGCAAGAAAAGGAATTGTCTTCCGAAGAGGGCAGATGCTGCAAAGTGCTGACGAGGAAAGTTTCTGGTGCTACAGAATGTAAAAATTGAACTTTTTACATTGGGTGGCATGTTGTACATTGCTCCTGCCACTTCTCGGATATATAAACCCTGAGACCCTGGGGATAACAAGAAAGAAAGAGCGCTGCATTTTTGTTAGAAAAGTCATGATATTATTCAATATTTTGGCT